TCTTGTGGTCCCTTGCATCCTGTGGAGAAGGGAATGGGCAATAACTGTTCCACTCAGTTCTGAAGGCAATGCGCAGAGCAGTCCACCTGTCACCTTCAGCAACCTGCTTACTAAGGATTAAGGCTTCATGAGTATTACTTGCCTCTCATGCATGCGATTACAACAGAGTGAATCATGGGGAGGGACACACGCAGTCAAAAATCAGTCACATAGCATCTGTCAATCAAATCTGCTAATCACCTTCATCCCACCTATAAAAAGAAATACCCAGGCTTTTCCCACTAGCCTGGCTCAAGCCACATAAAATAGCCAGGTAGACCCCAGACAACAGTGCTCTTGAGCTATGTGGCTGGAGCCCTCTCTTGATGGTGTTACTTTCACTTTGTTTTCGATACACTGGGCTGCTTTGCCCTGCACTCCTTGTCCCTTGGATCAATCAATTCTTTGATTGTGACCCCAGACAAGAACCTGATGTGCCCCCCCATTCCCCTAGTAATAACCCCACTGCCACTGGAAGCCCAGGACTATAAGAGCTGGCAGGTGCCGGGGTTGCTGGAGGTTAAAGCCCATAGTAAGCCTCCAGTCTGAGTATCAAGACCCATAAGTCTCTGGCTGCCAAAGCCTGATGCAGTGCCACTTGCTCTCAGGGTTTGGAGCTGTGAGTTTCTGGCTCTGCCAGTCCAGTCCCTAGGCCTTGGGCACTCAAAGGTCTGGGACTGCTAGCACTGGACATACAGCTGCTCCTTGCCCACCCATGATTCCTATCTGGTTACAGGCAACTGACTGACAACAGCAGGACAAAGTACAAGTTGAGTGTCCCTCTGTTTGAGTCCAGAAATGTTTCAGATTGCAGAGTTTTTCAGATTTTGGAATGTTTGCATATACTTTACTTGTTGGGCATCATAAGGTGAAAATTGGAAAGGCTCCAAAATCTGCAACTTTTGAGTATCATATTGGTCCTCAAAATTTTGGATTTCTGAGCACTTTGAGTTGGAACAGAAATGCTCAAACTGTGCAGGAGAATCTGTGAACAAAGAACTCTGGGTCTGAGCTCTGCAGAGGTTACACCTCGAATATACCACAAAGTAGTGAATTGTCCTTTTTCTGTTACAGAAACTCCGGCTCTGCTTGGCTTCATAGGTGAATTCTACCAAACATTTAAAAGAAATAATACCAATGCTACACAAGCTCTTGCAAAAAACATAGGACAAAATGTTTTCCAAGTAATCCTAAGAGGCTGGCAATACATGACACCAAAATCAGACCAAAAGCATCATGTGCACAGACTCTAAAAATGTACCCAAACTCCTTTTTTTTTTGGGCAGGGGGAGTGGCGATACTGGGGTCTGAACTTGTGCTTGCTAGGCAAGTGCTATAATACTTTAGCCTCACTCCCAGCCCTTTTCTCTTTTTTAGTTACTTTTCAGATAGGGTTTCATGCTTTTTTTGCCTGGGCCAGCCTTGGACCATGACCGACCTTCTGTATAGCTGGGTTTAGAGACCTGAGTCCACTATTCCCAGCTTGTTTGTTGAGATGGAGTGACTACGGTTTTGCTGGCCTTCAACCACATTCCTCCTGATTTCTGCCAACCACGTAGCTGGGATTACAAGAGTGTGACATCAGACGTGGCTGAAACAAATGCCTATAAAATCGAATCCATAATTTAGAAAAAGGTTGTATATCATGACAAAGTGGAGTGTACCCCACAAAGGCAAGGTGGATTCAACATTTCAAAATTAATTAATGAAATTCACCCTATTTGCAAGCAAAAACCCAAAAAACAGTTGATCATCTCAATAGAGGTAAAGAAAGTATCTAGAAAGTTCCCACATCCATTCTGTAACTCCCAGCACAATAGGAACGGAAAGGCCATCCTCAACCCGGTGACACTACCCATGACAAACAGAGCTACCGTCGCTCCCACCACATCCTGAAGAGATGTTTCTTCCTGAGAGCAGAAATGAGAAAGTGTCTATTCTCACCCTCTGCTTCTATCCAAACTGTACTAGAAATTCTAGCAGTGCACTAAACCAAGAGAAGGAAAGGAAGCACCCAAATTAGATGTTTACATGACCAGACTGATGGTGTAGAAAATATATGCAATGATTCCACACAAAACCCACCAGAACCAATAAATGAGTATAACATGGCTGCAGGTGTTATATATACACAAAAACATGTTTACATAATAGTAATGAAAAATCAGACACTGAAGTTAAAAACCATTTACAACAGTATCAAAAACTTCAATATAAAGGAATAAATATGACAAAGGATGTGCAAAACCTATGTATTAAAAAGTCAAAATATTGCTAAGATAAATTAAAGATATACCAATGCTTCTTCATTGTTTGGACTCAGTATCATTAATACATAAATTCTACCTAACTTCATTCATAGACTCAATATACTGTCCATCAAAATCTCAGCATTTGTTTTCAGAAACTGACAAGATGATTCTAAAATTCATATGGACCCATACAGGACTTGGGATAGCCAAACTATGAAGAAGAACAATTTAAAAAGCTAGTATTTCTTGATTTTAAGACTTATACTAAAGTTGCCATAATCAAGGCAGCTGTGCCCTGGTAGATAGATCAGCAGGACAGAACCGAGTTCAGAAATAAATCCCCACACCTAAGGACAACCGATTTTAGCAAAGGTGCAAAAGTAATTCAACGGGAAAAAAGATAATCTTTCAAGTGGGTATCCATATGCAAAGAAGTAAACAGGACCCTTACCTTGTATCTTGTACAAAATTCTCTATAGCGTAGATCTAAATGTAAAACCTCAAACTACAAAATTTCTAGAAGAAAATCTCACGGCCTTGGGTTAGGCAATGATTTCTTACCTATGACACCAAAAGTACAAAATCGTAACAGCACAACTCATAAAGAATAAAAGTAAGAACTTCTGAACTATAAAAGACACTATTAAGAGAATGAAAAGAAAATGTGAGTCCATGGTTCTCCATCCCACAGGAATGAACACTGTTCCAGCAATGATACACATTATCAACACTGAACTCTTAGATCAGGTCTCCTAAGGGCTGTCAGGTACTCCCTCCCAGACAGAGGGTGAAAAATGGTATACTGCAAATGTGCTAACAGTTTCTGCACTAGTTGATTATTATATAAATAAAGCTGAAACAGCAATTAGCAGTTATGTCAGTTGAAACAGCAAAACAAATAAATGTCTTAAGCTAGACGACTGAATCCAAATGACGTGAATGAGAAGAGGTAGTCAAAAGCAAAAGAAGTCAGTGTAGAAGGCTGAGGCAGTGGAAGGAGGGAAGCCCTCTATCCGTACCTGAGCCTGTGCTAGTGTGGCACCCTGACCAGCATACAGGTCCAGGTAAAGGAATAAGAAGGTCACGGGTGCCCACTCTCTCACTCTTCTCTTTCGCAAGCCCTGTCACTCCATGCTCCCAGATCCTGAGTAAGCACAGTGGGTTCAAGACTCAGAGCCCTTGCTGCTTTTGCTCAGGATCCCTTCTTTCACTTCCGTTGTCTCCTAGTGAACCATCTACCACTTGCTCTTCAGAACTAAGTCACTATGCTTCTACTGGCTTTTTTGTTTTCTCTAGTATCTGAACTTTTGCTTCATCTGAGAATTCCAGCTAGCTCTTTCTTCTAAAACTCAGATACTCTCTCCACCCCACAAACTCCTCCCCACACTTTCCTGTCCCACACCATGCAGATGGAGGCCAAGTCATCCTTAGGAACTGAGGTTATTCCCACTTCACACCTAAGAAAAATGCTAATGTTACAGTGTCCTCAATTATCTTAGGTACTGTGCACTCACCATGTACACAGCACCAGGCTAAAAGGCCTTATTTGCATTACGCGGTTCAAGTCTCAGAGCTACAGGAGGGTTATTGTGTTCTTATACTCATCTTACAAATGTGACGACTGGGGCACAGAGAAGCAAGGCCCAACACTTGAAAAGAGTTAAAGCTAGGCTGTTAGCACACACAGACTAAGACCAGAGGTTGAGTTCCCAAACACTGGTCTGTAATGCTTTCTAAATGGAACTTGTCACCTTTTCCCTATCTTCGTGTTGCTCAAGTCAAATCTCCTCAACTTCAAATGCCCTCACATTCAATCTGTGCATCCTCCTCAGTGTCCTTCTTCCCTGGATGACAGCAACTATCAAACTACAGTCTGCTGCAACACATGCTGCTCACAACAGCATACTGGGTTCTTCGAATCACAACTGGACCATGTCACTCTCATCCGAACTCCCCCTCCAACTCCTCACCGTCACGTGCCAGCTCCCTACACAAAGCCCTACGTTCCATTCAAGCCAACCCTGTCCCACGTCTTTAAACAAAGCACACTCCGAATCCCTTCAACGCTGCAAATACCCTTTTACTTGGGATACCTTTATAGCTCTTTCTACATAAATCCATTCTGGCACTCCACTTCGGCCCAGATGGCGCCTCCCTTGCCTGTAGTTTAACAACAATCCTGTAAGAGTCAATATTTGTTTAGCACAACATGTCACACATTATTCTGGACACTTCACATCTTTCAGTGCTTCCCCCGTGGGGAAACTGAGGCAAAAGGCTCCGCAGCTGCATTTACTGGATTTATATGTTTCCCTCCCCAAGTTAAATTCTTGAGGGCTGGCCCGTCCCCTTTACCTCTGCAGTAGCCATGCTTGAACATGGTGCCTGGCACCTAACACACAGGAAAAGCGCCTCTAGGTCCTACAGGCTTGGACTCTCCTCCTGAGCCGCAGCAATTCCCCTCCACCCCCCACCCTCGCCAAATCCGGTTTCTTCCCTGCACAAAAGGGACAGAACACTTAGTGTCCTGCAAGGACTGACCAACCAGTTCTGCTTTAGAATGACACCCCGTCCTCGTGCACATCAAGCTTTTAATGCAGCTAACTTCGCTTAAGTGTTTGCAAATTTCCACGCTGGGTCCCGACAAACACGCTAGCAGCGATGACGACAGAAGCTTTACGTGCGCAGAATAAAGGCACAGGAGCTTACTTTGGTCACTCAGAAAGTCGGTTTCCGTGGCCATCTGGGTATAAGCCCAGTTCCGAGCGTCCGGCGCCGTGGTCGTGCTCGGAGGCGGCGCCGGGGGGCAGGGCGCAGGCAGCGATCTGCACCCCGCTCACGCAGCGCCGCGGCGGCCGCTCGGCTCCCGGCCCGGCCCGGCCCGGCCCGGCCTGGCCCGCGCGCGGGCTCCGCAGCTCCGGGACGCGCCCGCGGGTTCCGAACGCTCCGCGCCAATCGGCCCCGCGGGTGCGCGGGTCGACGCGGCGGTCCCGAGGGTCACTCGACAGCTGGCGGGACCCCGCAGACGACGGCCGGGGAAGCCGGCGGGCAGCTTGGTGACGGGAGCCTCCACGGGGCTGGGGGGGCGACGCCAGGGCCGCGAGGAGCCCCGGGCTAGCAGCCGAAGTCCACTCGGCCCGCCCTGCGACTTTGAAACGGGTGCCCCGGACCGCTCCTTGGAGACGGCGACGCCGCCTCCGTCATCACGTGGGCGTCATCGCTGGCGTCAGCACGCTGCGCACGACGCTCGCACGGTATTGGCTGGTTGTCGGGCGGTAGGCGGAGCCAGCAGCGTGAGGCATCGCGGAAGGCGAGCCGGCGGCCTGTGCTTGCGCGTGGTCGGGTCGGTGTCTTCCTTTTGAAATAAACTCCCCCAAGTGTAACGCGAGTGGGGCGTTGGGTACGTTTTAAACGCCCGCAGGATCTCTCGTCCCGACAACCCCCGCCGCTGTGGTCGGAGCGAAGGCCGGGAGGGACCGCGGCGGCCCGCCCCTCCGCGCCTCTGCGGGGAGGACCAGCCTTGTGTCCGCGCGGGGCCGGGAGCGACACGAACTGCACGTGTTTCTGCAGAAAATAAACAGGTGGAGTTTGCATTTGTGGAGCGATGACCATTCCCGGGCTCTAAATTTGATTTTGTCTGAGTCCTTAAATCTTTTAGATTTCTTCAAAACGTGTGTTGGCAGAAAGGACAGCGCTAGCAATTACAGTGTTAGCTGGAATCCGGCCATTAGTTTTAGTGGGGTTTTTTTCTTTTCTTTCTTTTTGAACTGTTAGCAAGGATTTGTTTTAGTACAGCATTTATTTTATACCATTTATTTTATTATTCTAGTACAGCATTTATCTTAGTACAGTATAGTAGGGAGAAATGGGGCGGAGGGGGTGTTTGCTGCGCCCCATGCAGGAAATGGGAGTAAAAGTTCCTAGTGTTTTTAATAGATCGTATTTTTTTTTTTGTAGCTTTAAAATAGTTCCATTAAACACACCTGTCATCGGTGCAGCTCTGTTTGGCTAACAGTTTAAGTTTTGTAGTCCTCTATGCATGTCATTTAAACAAAGTAATGTTAGCAAAATTTATTAAGAAATCTGAAAAATAGTTTCAAGCGTGTCCAGTTAGGTTTTGGAAGGCCCATGGTGGACCTCGCTGTTCAGAGAGAGAGAGAGAGACCTCTCTAAGGACTAGCGCAGATGGCTGTGCGTAATAACCACGAAAGGTCTGAGACTGAGCTGGTTCTGACTTCAGTGGCCATGACAACTTTGTTGGAAGGGGAAACCAACGGCGCAGGCTCCCACTCTTGAAGTTCTGCGTGTACTTTCAACTGCACAGGGACCTGCTTCTGTCTCCTGCAGCTCAACCCTTTATATTGGTGCTGTGACTTTAGTTGGGGTTGGGCAAGTAGAACCCTCTGTTTACACTCCTAATAGGACACATTGGTGTGGATGAAAGCCAAGAGTGTATTCTGGATATAAAGGAGTGAATAGTGACACAGGAGTTACGTCTGCACATACTTGGCTTATATGATCAAGGCTGACATTAACACAACAGTTTGTTTTTGTTTTTTGTATGTGTGTGGTTACAAGACTTCACTGGTTGATTTTTTTTTTCCCCCCAGTACTGGGAAATGAACCCAGATCCCCTTGCCCTTGCTAGGCAAGTGCTCTACCACTGACCTAAATATAATTTATACCGAGTGTAATATAATTGATAGTTTTTGCTTATGTGGCCAGTTAATCTCTAGCTGCAGCATTACCTTATGATTTACAGTTGATTTTCAAATTGTCGCACAGTATTTATGTTGCTGAATTGTCCTTCCCTCTTCTAAAAAGTCTCCCAGACTTCAGTGGGATAATTTAACAAAATGCCTCAGGTGTTCATTTGTGTCCCTTCAGCATTTTCCTTTCCTAGAATAATCAAGTTTCTGCTTGACACCTCTAAGTCCCTCCAAGCAGGCCCTGCCCTGGTGGCCTGAGGTGATCCCTGCAGAGACTTGAACCAAAGGGAGAGGGTGCTGGCCCTGGAAGAGAAGAGAAGAGCCTGTGGGTGTGAGCCTCCTGCTCTGTGCTCTTCCAGCCTTGTCCTAAACTCTGAATGCAAAGTGCTTGGCATGCAGTGTCTTGCTGTCCGCTATCTCCTAGTCACTGGCAGGCCAACTTCTGCTTTTCTTCCTTTCTCTCAGAAATGGGCTGGGTGAGAGAATGCAAACGGCAATTAAAATCCACTTACTGTAGAAAAACTGAAGAATTTTTTGTGAAGAGAGAAAAATTTGGAAATTTTCTTTGCAAATCATTTTAGTGAAAAAGTACCTTTTCCTCAACTTCCTTCTTTTAAGCTCCATGGAATATTTTTTTCTTCTGCCAGGCTCTTAATGCTCCAGCATTCTGTGCCCTTTTCTCTCTCTCCACTTCCTTTCAAAAGTCTTTTCATAGTGAAGGTAAGTAAAGCAGTGAAAATAATTGAAAATTTATCTTTCTAACTCATGATGAAAGAGTAATTTGAAAAAGAAGTTAAAAAGTGGAGAAATACAGATTAACAATAACAGTATTTTAAGAAAATATAAATAGCCAATATTAAAATTGCATAGTAGACTTGTGACCACCTTGAAAATATTCATTTTGACATTTCATAGTATTCAATCATAATGCTATTTAAGCAGTTTAGCTTTAAGTTTAAGAATATTTAAAATTTAAAAATATTTTTTAACTATTCACTTATTTTAAAATAGTCCATATATCATGGTATACAAATCAAATAGGTTAAAAAAAAAATGGTAAGTAAGGCTGCCTTCCTCCATGTGTGAGCAGGTAATTCCCTCCCAAAAATGAATTGGTGCTGCCCAGCCAGTCTCTTACTTATGTTTCCTGCCACAGTGTGTGCGTCCCACGCACATGTGCAGATGAGCTTACTTTTCTGAAGTGAATGCATGGGTTTTGCACCTGGTTTTTCTCACTTCACAGTGTAGTCTCATGCATTATAGCTGCTTGCTCATGTTAGCAGCTGTGTAGTATTTCATTGCACTATAGCAGAATTTCTTCGATAATCTTCCGAAAGGTATTTAAGTTGCCTTGAGTGTTTTGTTATTCTAAACAACACTTCTGCAATTATTCTTCTACTTAGGTCATTTTGATTGTCTCCAGGTATAACTCCCAAAACTAGAATTATCGAGTCAAAAGATACTTGCATTTTTATTTTAGTAGATCTTGATGTATTGCCCTTCACAGCGGCTTTCTCACTTTTTCTCACTTTCCTCATCAACACAGCATGTTCTCAAGTTTCCTGATCCTTGCCAATAAAACTGAAAATTTATCGTTGCTTTAGTTTGGATTTCTGTAAGTGAGGTTGAACACTTTGCATTTTCTTTCTGTGAACTGGCTGTTCATAGCTTGTGCCTGCTTTTCTGTTGGGGTGTTCATCTTTTCCTTGTGGATTTCTAGAAGCCCATTAGACATTAAAACACAATTGCTTATTTGTCTGAAATAAAAGTTGTATATATTTCCCAGACATTGAGAGATCCACCCAAGATTCCTCAAAATTTAATAGCTTCTTGTAGTAAAGACAGCATGTGAAACAAAGGAACAAATTGAAAGACTTCAGATAAGGGAAGCTACAGTTTGCAAATATCAAATACAAAGTCAGGGTTATCTTGTGGATAATACCTGGAACCAGTGTAATTTGGGGACTTTACTGCTAAAATAAAGTTTTCATCTTCCTGCAGAGTCCCACAGTGTCCTCTGGGAAAACACAGCTGACATTGGTGCAGTTTCTAGTTATGCATGTCATGTGACCTTGCACAGGTCTGTTTTTTTCATTTGTAGCAAGGACAATACTCATGTCTCTGCAAGTTCATGTAAAATTAAATGAGATAATGTTCCTAAAATGCATGATCCACAGTGTTCAATGAAATGTGTTTCTCCTGATTAGATAGCATGTCCTTCCATTAGAAAATAATTAAAGATGCAATACAGCTTGTTCCCTATGTCTGAGTCTGTTTTAAACTGGTAAGTAGATTCTGTTCCCATTTTTCAATTAGAGTGAAATTATCAATCAAAAAGTGGTCATTTAACAGATGAAAAGGCAACAAAGTGTGTGCGCAGGAATAAGGGAGGGAACAAAGTGTGTGCGCAGGACTAAGGGAACAAAGTGTGTGCACAGGAATAAGGGAAGGCAGAATTGAACTTTAGCAACCTTCACATGAATGCCGTCTCCCTCCCCTCTAAAGAGAAGGTTTTCATCCAGAAGAATCGGGGTTTCATAGCACTGTTCTACTGATTTACAGAGATTTTTTGTCATGGTTTGTTTTATTTTTTAGATCTTGATTCCCAGAGGATCCGGTAACTCAGACACCTGCATACTTTTCCATAGAAAAAGACAAAGGGTATGAACGCATGCACTTGGAGTTACAGTTAAGCACATTAACAGTTTCTGCAGTGGACTTTCACAGCATTTTTTAATGATTTTGACGCATACTACAAGGAAATCAGACCAAATCCTGTTTTAGAGCAGAGCTCGAGCCACGATTTGCCACCACACAGGTGGCCTTTTGAGTCCTTGGACATTGCTCTTGTCATTCTGCTGTCTACCTATCCATTATTTGGCATTTAAGATTCCATTTCATTTCTAACCAAATGAAACTTTTGCATGTTGTTTTAATATGCTTCCTTTACAGTCAGTCTTCAGATGGATTTCAAAATTGAACACACTTGGGATGGTTTTCCAGTGGGCCACCAGCCAGTGTCTGTCAGGCTAAGCCCAGGTGAGGGAGGCGTGGTGATGGAAGTCAGTGCTCCATTTTTCAATGACCCTCCAGCCCCACTTGGAGAACCCGGAAAGCCTTTTAATGAGCTGTGGGATTACGAAGGTAAACAGAAGTACTGTGTTCTATTACATCTCTTTGTAAGAACCTCTCACAAGGCTGTTGTTTTATCTTGCTGTTAGGAAGTGAGCACTCCCAGCAACTGGCATTTCTTACCAGTCTCTCACTCTGACTTTATCCCCACTGCCTATGTGACTTCAGCAGTAACTAGAATGGGAAATGGCAATTACAAATCCAGATTTTAGGAAATACTATCATAATGTCCTTCTATAATCTCAGAATTCAGTATTCCTTTTGTTTGGTCTTTTAAGTATCCTCAAATTGCTTCTTTCACCTTAAACCTTTATGGGAGTTTTGGGGTACTTTCCTTATTGTAGAAATACTACCAACCTCAACATGAAATTTAGTTTTTACTTTGTGAAGCAAGTAATCTCACATGTCAAATTAATGCTAAAAGACATGCCATGAAATGACAGGGTTTCAGATTTGTTCTGCGATTCCCTGGTACCATATCCTAATCATGTTACCAGATTCAGCTTTCTGAAGTGTTCTTCATAATGCTGTTCCACCAGATCACAAACCGTCATCATCACTAGGAGAAAATTGAAACATTTCCCATAAGCTTTCAAGACAGGCGTGAATTAGGCCACAGATTCAACTGCAAGCTCTTGACTTCTTACTGTCCATACAGAGTCTCACCTACGTGCTTTGTCATTCTTTTTTATTTTTCTGCTTCCAAAACATAGTTCAAGGTCAAATTCAGGTCCCATTTCTTCAAGTGTCTTTGACAAGTCTTATAGCCAATATAAAATTTCTCTACAATTGTAGAGCATGCCTTTTGTTAGTATTTGTTTATCACGTGGTTTGTTTGTGTAGTACGCATATGCACCAGTCTGTTTCATCTGTCAAGAACGAAAGCACCAAGCTCAGCAAACCCTAATGTCATCTACTTCTTCATGAAGTTAAGTGACGTAATGTTTATAGACCCGGCCGCAGTGCTCCACGTGATTGCGCAGTCTCAACGACTAGCTCTAGCAACATTTCAGGTCACCGAGATCTCTTCATGATGCCCTTCTCTCTCATTCTCCATATTTGCATTCTTTTGCTAAGGCCTATCAAATTTACTTCCTGTCAGATGTCACTAATTCAGTACCTCCTTTCCACCCTATCAGCCCTACTGTAGGAGAAAGGTCTTCATCATCTTTTACCTTGGTTAGGCAGAACGTATCTGAAACGGCAGTTTAGCTCATCCTTCAGCCAAGAGCTCCTCATGTTCCTTGTCCTCAAGATAAAGTTCCCCTTCATTCGATCTCTACACAGTTTTTCATGGCCTTCTATGACTTGCCACTCATTTTCTGCAGCACTGCCAGTTCTCCCTGTGTTTGCCTGGTAAGACTGAGCTGCATGTAGTTCTTTAAATAAGCTGGAGTATTTCCTAAGTACATGCCTCTGAGTGAACGCTGTCCCTCTGGGATGTCATGTCCACCGTCCTTTACCCACTTGTACCCATCTTTCAAGACAGAATTTAGCTGATACCTTCCCAGGAGTCCTTCCCCAAGCCACGCTTTTGAGCCAACAGTCTGCTTTCATTTTTCCCATGTTGACCCATACATCCTTCCATTTTTGGAATTTTATCCAACTTTCCACTTCAGTGTCTGCTTATACTGTGAACTAATCAAAGTGCCTATACAATCTGATACAGTGTTAATACAGAAAAGCTATTAAAATGCTTGTGAGGTGATGATGGAGGATAGAAATAAGAAGGGATACGTGTTTGAATGGGAGAGATACAGATTTATCTTAAGGAATTGGCTCACATGCTCCTGGGGGTTGGCAAGTCTAAAACCCACAGGGCAGGCCAGCAGTCTATAGATACAAACAAGAGTTGGTGCTACAGTTCATATCCAAAGTCTGTTTGATAGCAGAATTCCTCCTTTAGAAGTCAGTCTGTGTTTCCATAGGCTTTCAACTGATTAGATGAAGCTCACTCACACTTTGGAGGGTAATCTGCTTTAGTGAAATTCTACTGATTTAAATGTTAATCTCATCTAAAAAATACCTTTAACACAAACATTTAGAATAATGTGAGAACACATATTTGGGTACCATGGGTTAGCCAATGTGAGGTATGAAATTAACCATTATAGTAAACTTTCTAATTCATTTAGGTAAAAGATTTAGAAAGGGACAATTAAATTCTCTGAATTATTGAGGGAACTAATGTATTATAAAAGTAACACAGAAAATTAGGAACAATTTAATGTCTACCCATAAAGGATTAAATGAATAAATTACAGCATTCTATTCAGAAATCTACACAATCATTAAAAAGGAATATATTAATACGAAAGAAAATTTTTTCACGCAAAAAAGCAAATTCTGGTACTGGAGATCTGGCTCAAGCAGTAGAGTTCCTTTGAACACAAGTGCAAAGCCCTGAGTTCAAATCCCAGTCCCACCTAAAAAAAATACAACAAAAACAAAAAACAATCTCTAGGTGAAGATAATTCCATATTCATTTTTTAAAGATCTAAGCAAGTAGAACAGTTTTTTGAACACAGAAAAGTCTGGTAGGTTCTAGATTGGGGTAAAAGGACTTTGATTTTTACTTCATATATATGTGTGTGTGTATGTGTGTGTGTGTGTTAGTTAGTTATAAGAAAGATGGAAGACTTTCATAATTAAATAATCTAAAACATAGCACATGCTCAGGAAAGTATAATGAAAAGATCACCTGTCTGTATTCTCCAATCATAGCCAACTACTCTTAAATGTTTTTCTGCCCATTTTCACAGCTCAAGCCACAAGTACATGTGCACATTTTAATTTCAAATACGCTTGGTTGCTGCCCTGCAGCCCACCTGTAAATGTCATGACATACTCCATGCCACTAAATATTTAACTGTGTCTTTGATTTTAAGGTACCATGGTCGCATAAATTCCATAATTTATTTTTCGGCTGTACCTCATGGTAGATTGATTTTAAAAATAGGAAATGATCCTATATAAGAGGAAATTGCCATTTATATCATTTCCAGCTTTTGAGCACTATCTTGAATAGAATTACACTTAATTTCTCTTCCTAGTCATATGATATATTTCTTAGCAGAAATCTTAGAAGGTAGCTGGCTGGCCTGCTGTGTGATGATGTTGATTTCTGTGACCTCACCAGCACTAGACTTTAATCTATGGCAATCTGATATGTGAGAAAATGGATCGTGACTCATTTCCTGTGATTTTCTCCTGGGCATTGTCTATTTTGCCATTTATTGCTGGGGATGTTATGGTAACTTAAAATCTTACTTAATTCATTTCATGTTCTAAAGGAATTAACAACTTACTTGTTAACTAAAGCAAAATTAAGTTATTCAATGTGGCATATCTCTGTTTTCAAAAGTCGTGGAAGCATTTTTCTTGAATGATGTAGCTGAGCAGTATTTGGAAGTTGAACTTTGTCCGTAAGTATATAATACTTTTTATAATCACTACTACATAATTTGAAGATACTTTGTTCTAGTAATAAGTCATATAGTAAAGGGAATGATACCTGGGTTCATCTGAATTGCATACTTTTATTGTCATATACATCTAGAATATGTGTTTAGATATGTATTCCAAGTGTTTGACATATTGTGTGATGTTATTTTTAAGTCACTAATATTGTTTTTTGTGATAAATTTGAAGTTTTTTGGCAAAATAAAAACCATTATAAAACAAACTGTTTCCCTTATGAATTACTGTATAAATTTGCATTATTACATATTAACTGTTGAGAAATAAAAGGAGGTATATAGATATAAAAAAATGTAACTTGCTTACAAAAATGTTTCAGGGGATTTTTAAATGACTACATTAAACTTTAATCATATGTATCACTCTGTTTTCATGTATTATCACTCATTTTTTTAATATATGCTATGCCATTTTTGCATCCAATGCCAAGGATAAAAATTAAATCATACCTGGATTTTATTAGGCTCACTAAAACTATTGACTCTGCACTTTCTTTGTTAGTGTTTACGTACACCCTTAAGAATTTCTTTACCTATTGACAAACTATTTTATCTTATGCCCACCTGTCACCTAAATTCTAGCAAATCTCAAATTACTGAAGGATACAATAAGTGGAATGTTTCTATATATTGCCTTTATTCATCTTAGGTGCTGTTTAATGACCCCTTAGTATTAATACTCAGTAGCCTTAGTAGACTGGCCTGAGAGCCTCAAACAATTGACATAAATGAAGTTTTACATGTCCTTTTATTTCCCTTGTTTAGGTTCTCTAATGTGGAAAATCTAGTTGTTTGAAATTACTGTTTTAGGAAGTCTGTGTTATCTTTGTATGGTACCTTTAATTTAGATGCCAAAATCTTTGATTTAAAGCTATGATTAATTCTTATAAACTGTCATGTGAAAAAGCTAAGAGAAGCATTCATACTTTGTCTAAATAACAGGAAAGAACTTGGATTTGCCAAATCCTCAGTTTTAATTTTTTAGATCATCTCAGTTTATCATCAAAAAGTGATGACCTCACACTGAATGAACAGAGTAGACTATCTTTTGTTAAGAAACTACACAGTTGCCATTGTATATGAAATTAATAAATTTTTAAAGTTAAAATCCTCAGAGTAGTATGGCTTGATATACATCAGGTGAGTTAATAATCAATAATCACAATTTTGTCTCAGGCACATCATTCCTGTGACAGTTAATTAACTTGTTGGAAACAGTGTGAAGAAGATTATTGTTTTAATTTGCAAGAAGTTTTACTGCTCCTAAGATATCCTGGAGGCCACATAAAAACAGCAAAAAACAATCAGGGAATGTTTAAATGAAAAAGACTGTGGTCTTCTGCCAGAGTACTTTCCTGAATAGAAGCCTCCCTTCAGAGCTCACAAAGGACTGTCTGGGTAGAAATGTTTGACAGTCTTTTCCAGAGATAGTGAATTTGCTTCATGTAAACACCTGAACTCCTTTGCTTCTTACTGACCTGACTAATCCCAATTATGCATTCTTGTTACAGTTGTCTTTGGAGAATATATTGTGTTCCCATTTGAAAATTTGACATTGAATATGCTGGAAAACACCAGAGGCAAACAGGTCAAAAATGATTGCATGAGAAAATAGATAAGGATTAAAATCTTTCATTTATTGACTAGTTCAGTGTTCTGTATTTGCTGTCTTCCTAATGGGCCTCAAGATAGTTTTCCAGAAATAATCTTTACTAAAGTTGTTAGAGTCAGACCTGGAAATTAGTCCCAGCTTCCCTTAGGGTACTTTTTTTAAAAATTGGTTTTATTATAAACTCCAAATAACATGATATCTTTCCTTTCTTTTCATACTTTATGTTGTCTAATCAAGTTATTTTACATGACTTCTTACTAACAAATATGAAGAGCAATCTTAGCACATGAAACCTTATGGTTTGACAGCAGTTGTCTTTTGTAAACCTGAAGACTGCCATTCCTAAGTAACTAAACTCACTGGTTCTCCCTACAATCATCCAATATTGGTATTGCATCTTTTATTATTTGGAAATTTAGCTGCAAGCGCATACATTCCAACGTGCATAGTGAAGAAAATAACATTGCTTCTCTCAAACACTCATGAGGAATCTTAATTTTGACAGCCATGGACAGCATTTGGTGCTTTTACTGTCTGGAAGAAAAAATGTGTGGAAAGTGAGTGAACAAAAATGTGAAACAAAATCTTTAAGGGTACAAGTTATATGTGTGTGTTCAAAGCATAAGTCTGAATTTACTTTTTGTGTTTCACATACCGTTACTGCAGCAAGAACTCGCTTTATCATTTGAAGTGTACAGAGGGGAGACAAAATGGGAAGGCAAAGCTTTTCTTCCATGGAGTTACTTTCCACCGAATGTGACAAAGTTTAATTCGTTTGCAATCCATGGGTCAAAAGATAACAGAAGTTATGAAGCCCTTTACCCTGTACCTCAGCATGAATTCCAACAAGGACAAAAACCTGACTTGTAAGTAAAAAGTATATTTCAACATGTTCCTATTGTACAGTTTCTTGGACATTAATTCTTGGTATAGCAGTAATTAACACTTTTTAGTCACAAAATATTACATGTGTAGGGCCCTTTGTCCCTTGATGGTCCTTAATGAACACTGTAAATCAAGTTTGGACTGACTGACATAGTCTCCCTCAATACTGTCAGTAGAACACTTAGTATTTCCTACAATTATAAGAAAAGTGTTTCATGGGTATTACATCAATTGATGTAGAAGTATGGCTTCAAATTCATGATCTCTTTCAGGGGTAAATGGCCAGTAGAAGCAATGTTTCCTGGCGTAAGAAATGAATCCTTTTCTCTGTTGTAAGAGAATTTATACTTGGTTATGACTGTTGTTCTCGTCTCTTGGTAAGAATATCTGTTGTTTCTAGGCAATGCTGCCTGCCTTTGATAAAAATGATCCCTAATTGGGAAGTTGCATCTAGCCAGAGCATTACTTTGAGTGAACCATAAATACATGATGGAAATGGTATAGCTTTGGAACTCCCCTTTAACAGTCATCTTCTCTGTGGGAACCCTGGAAACTGCCTATGGAGTTACGAGAAATACAGGTTCCTGGGGCAGGGGACATTTAAGCCAAGGTATCTTCAGCACTTTGTCAGTTTGAATCTTGTCTCCTTACACCTGACGTTGCCATTTAAGGGTAATATAGATCTTAGCCTTATGAATGCTCTGTGGATCACTATGAGGACTGGTGCCTTAGAAGGGAAGCCTATATAATATCCTGGAGCAAACTGTGATTCCTACTCTGTATCACTGTGATACTCAGTATGGCCAGGATAGTCTGGTGAGTCAAAGTATTTAGAGGAGCCTAACAAAGGTCCTAGTAAGCATCACACCATACCAAGTTGACATTCCTGCCTTTTCAACCCTTGGGATATGCCACACTATTCCTATTCACCTTTGCCTTTCGTGCTCTTATTTTACTCTACTTTGCCTTAGTCTCTTCTAGCATATTTCTTTGCTTTCTCCCTAGTCCTGACCCTTTCTAACCTAGCTTTTCTCTTTATGTTTTCCTTTACTGATGTTTCCTTAACTTTTTACTGTGGGATTCATAATTGTAATTCTAAAACTCATCATCCTAGCCAGGTGGGCAGGAGGGGCTAGGAATCTAGGTGCATTGACTCAAGGCCATCATACCAAAGTAGCATGCCACTCTCGCTCTTCCTCAGCTAATACCATCCTAGTCAGACTTCCTGTCATACATTACTGGGATGTAACCTAGGTAGAAGTATGAGTGTACAATGGGCAGAGCAAGCAATCCCCTACAGAGCAGAGTTCTACCACAGCTTGTTAGTGAGTCTTTCTCATTAAACCAGAAGAGAAAGCTTCATGATAATTAAATGACTTTTCTAGGAAGAAAAGCACTAGGAATATACGCTGGTATATTAGTCTAACTTGCTTTGGCAAAGAAAGAAAATAAGTCAGTCCTCTAATATGGACTTAAAACTTTTTTAAAGCAATTGCTTATATGACTGGTATGAATTATATCAAAGTTCAAGTATAAGAACATTTGTAAGAGTATAATGGTTGATTTCTCATTTAATTTATTTTTTGAGATAGGGTCTTAGTACATAGCTCAGGCTAGCCTAGAACTTGCTATGTATACCAGTCTACCTTCACATTTGTGATCCTCCTGCTTCAGCCTCTTGAGTGCTGGGATTACAGGCATGCCCCACCATCCCTAGTGAGATATATGATTGGTGAAATGAATTAGACTTTAAGGGTTGATTTTTGTTTTTCCCTTCAGCTATGAGAAAGCTTTGTGCAGAATTGAAGAAGGGTGCTTTGAGATGGAGGATATTTTTCAGAGCTGAGTGTTTAATAGCTAGAGTGAGAAAATTATACATAATGAATCTATCTTACCTTTGGTGTTTCTTAAAATACAATGTTCTATCACAGCTGTGACTAAATAAATAGGCCTTCAAGACCACTATTTCACAATTTGTAATTCATTTCAGTTCACACGTTCCTTTTCTTTGCTTTTAGCCATCGTCTAGAATATTTCAAGCCTTTCAGTTTTAACATGCTCCTTGGAGAAGAATGGAAGCAGCCAAAGTCAGACATATGGCTAATGAAGAAAATTGATGTGCAGGAATATAATAGATAACCACACCAATCATTTTAAAGGAAAACATAAATATAATCGCTGTTAAGACACCATGAACAAATTCCAGCAAAAAATATTTTCACACAGGTCATTGAAAATATAGTATTTCTATAGCAAATTTTATATGATTAACAAAAAATTAGAAAGTTTACAGATGATTTCATCTGCACATTGTTTCTTAGTGTCACCACACCACTGTGATGTCAGTGGGTTCTTGTACAATCATCACCTTAAATGTCTCTTACTCTCAACCAGTCATTATTTTTCTCCTCACTTTCCATGGACTTCAGCCATTGATTAGAATATCTTAACTCCATGTAATATACAGCAATATTTTACTATTAATCTTCCACCCATTCTTGAAATTAGTAGGAAACAGTGACCTATTTCAGGAAGTCCCTATCTTAAGACATCATTAAAAATCATGAGTTTTGAGTTCAAACCCCATTACCACTACCACCAAAAAAAAAAAAAAAATGAATTTATTAGCCAGATGTTTTTGCTGTCTTGGGTTATTTTTTGCTGGGTAGAAAGAAATGAAATAGTGTTTAATTCAGGCCGTAGACTCTGCTTTCATTTACAAATAAAGGTCATTTTCTTAATACTATTATGCAAGATGTCAAAATGCTTATATTTTATTTTGCAAGCATCAAACATTTCTGGTCTTAGATGGGTCCTGATACAATAATAGTGGATGACGTAAGTACCCCGCTCACAAATAGATCCAGAGAAGAAAATCAACAAAGGAACCTTAGAGTTAAACTACACTATGGATCAAATGAACATATCAGACATCTACAGAATAATCCATCCAACAATAGCAGAATGCACTTTCTTTTTAGCAGTTCATGGAACACCTCCAGAATAAGACACTATGAGTACAATTGTTGTGAATCAGATGGCTATAACTATGTCGACTTATTTCCACCAGAAAACTTTTAAAATTCAGCCAACCTCCTAGGTCTTGTAGAGTGGCTAAAGATACAGAGTGCCTGCCTAGCAAGCATGAGGCTGAGTTCAAACCCCAGTACCACCAAAAAGAAAGGAAGGAAAGAAAATAAGGAGAGGAAAGTAAAGGAAAGAAAACTACCTTCTGGGAAAAAACTAGAAAAAATACTGTTCTTGACAGCCTCAAAAAAGCTAGGAATATACCTAGCCAAGGAGGTGAAAGACTTCTACAATGAAACTTACAGACCACTGAAGAAAGAAATTGAAGAAAACACTTGAAAATGGAAACCCGTTTCATGCTCATGGATCAGCAGAGTTAATATTTTTTAAATAGCCATATTACTGCAAGTGATCTACAGATTAATGTGCTCTCTATCAAAATACCAAGGAGAAGAGACTCAGTATGGTAGCTTAGAGAGAGCCAGCACTCTGAACCTCCATGAACCTGAAACAAAATCATCAAGTCATAGCTTAGGAAGAGAATAGTGGTCAGGAAAAGCAATGAAACACAATAGTACAGAATGTAGAAATACTTAACCTTGGATTTATAAAAGGAAACAAAATTAACTCTAACATAGAGAGCTAAATTTAAAAAAAAAGGTAGGAAAGGGGAGATCCAAGATGATGGTTAAGGTAGGGAATCAGGAATCCTAACCTTTGTGACTTCAGAAACCATTTTGAGATGTCAGAGGTACACTTGGATAATTCTGATTGCTTCTAGCCAAAATAATAACTGCCATCACACTAGGTGCACATAAAATTCAAAGACTGACCCCTAAATCAGCCCTTAGTTTGATCTAACAGCCACAAAAATCCCGTGTGGCACAGCCAGCAAGGCATGTCTCAACCTTGGAAAAAAGCCCCCTGGCCATTTCATTTTTTTTTTCCCTCTCACCAAGCAGAAGACAGAGCATCAATCAGAATCAAACTCTGACATCCTGACTCCCTAGCCTGTGGAAAGCCACCCTATGCCATGCCACACTGAGAACAGCAGAACCCTATCTACCCCAACTGGCTCCAGAGCTGCTTGCATGAATCTGCAGGAGGAACAGGTAAGCATAATGCACCACATGCACCCCCCCAACCCACTATCCAGGAAAATAATCCAGCACAACCCCTGGGCAGACTGAGCCCCCACAACAAAACTGAAAAACATAAACAGTGAACTGTGATCTAACACCAACAGCAGAGGTGGGGGTGGAATGCTGAACCTGCCCCAGAGAATGAAAGTGGGTCAAGAAGCCAAACTCTCAGTGCCAAATTCTCAGTGAATGAATGCAAGTAAAGCAATGAAGGCTGAGAGCAGAACTGGGGCAACAAGCCAGCCTCCCAAATCAGGGCAGGTGTGGATCCCAGAGCTGACCTCATGGGACAGAGGGCAGCATTCAAAACTGAGTTCCCCAACCTTGCTGGGGGAGGAGCTGACAAAGCACAGTTGCAGCTGTAGGGCAGCACAGCTGCTGCCTGGTGAAAACAACAACAGCTCTGACCACCCTGCACAAACTGGCAGAATTATCATCTCCCAATTACTGCTAACCCTGTGGACAGAAGGAACCAAATACTAACAAGCCAGTCAACCACATCTGAGCTCCTGCTTGTACGCCAATACCAGTATTGGACACCTGGGGAATAACTTGAGAACTCTTACCAAAAAACTGAATTTTTTGATGTCCCTGTACCTGGTGTTTTTTGTTTTTTGGTTTTGTGTGTGTGTTTGTTTTTTCCTGTATTACTAACTTCACCATCACTATTTTCTTATCCCTATTCTTACCCTTTTGCTTGCCCTCCATTTCCTGTGTTACAATCAGTTGTTCTCCCTCCCAACTACTTTTTATGCCCCTCTCATCCACTCATTCACCTCCCCCAACCTGTCACCACACTACCCCTCCCTTTTACACACTCATCACCTCTGACTATCTATTGTAAAAACTGTACACAAATGCAGCCCCCGGCATTCCCTGACACAAACACCCTCCACTACAACAACAAAAATACACCCAGACATGCACAAGGGCCACAATACCCAGCAGCCCCCATACCAGTTCTTCCACCCACCTACCCCTTTTCCAGTCCCCCTTTTAATTCCACCTTTACCATTTTCCCAAATTTCTATATCTACCCTAATAACCATTATACCCCCAACTCCCACTGTTTATAGATAGTATTACCAAGGAGTTTTCTATTTAATACAGAAACAATTGATCTAGCATTGAACTTGTGAATTTGTTATTGCTAAATTACACCTCCAGGCCAGGGACAGAATGAAGACATCAACCTAGCTAACAACCATATCAATCACAACACAAATATCAAGGGAAAGAAAACACACAATTAAAACCACCAAATAGTCTATCAGGAACATACTTGCACAGCACCAAGTGGAGTGTTGGGAAGAAAAAGAGATGGAAATCACTCTCAAAAAATAATTCAATACAGGATTCAGTGGGAAATGAAAAAATGGATACCAAGTTCCTGACCCCAATGAAACAATGATAAATGTCACTAAGGATCCCAGTGACACAGAAAAACCCTTGAAGAAATCTTGGAAGAATATGAGAAAATCATGGAGAAGAGACTAGACATGGTTAATCAGAATGTACAAGATGCACTCAAGAAATTTCAAGACTCTAAAAATAACATGAGAAGACACAGAAACAAATGAACTCAGGACTTCAACAAACACCAAAGTGAAACAAAGGATGCCATAAAAAGAGAAATATATGAATTAGAGATGACAACACAAAATATAAAAGGGGAGTTGAACAAAGATATGGAAAACCTTAGAAAAAAGAATAAAGCAGAAATCCTAGAAATAAAAAGTCCCTTTAGTCAAACCAATAATACAGTGGAAGACCACACCAGTATACTAGAACAAATGGAAGACAGACTCTCAGAGCTTGAAGATAACATAGAAATTAAAGAAAAAATATTATTCAAACAACTCAGGAGCTATGAAAGGAATATAGAAGAACTCAGTGACTCCATCAAAAGATCAAACCTGACAATCATACATAGAAGAAGGAGAAGAGGTACAAGCCAAAGGGATACATAATACAGTCAATAAAATAATAAAATTTTCCAAATCTTGAGAAAGTTTTCCCCATTCAGGTACAGAAAGCCTCCATGACACCAAACATACTTGACCAAGATAAAACCTCCCCACTGCATCTTATCATTAAAACAACAAGCACAGACAACAGAGAAAGAATATTGAAGACCATAAGAGAGAAAAAAAATGACATATAAAGGTATAAACCCATCAAAATAACAGATTTCTCAAGAGAAAACTTGAAAGCAAGAAGGGCATGGAGTGAGGTGTTTTGGGCACTTAATGAAAATAATTTCAGCCCTAGGATACTCTACCCAGCAATACTATCATTCAAAATTGACAGCAATAAAAATATTCCATGATAAACAGAAATTAAAGCAATATATGACCACCAAGCCACCATTACAGAAGAGTCTACAAGGAATTCTGCATGCAGATTAAATCAAACAAAAGAGTAGCATTGATTCACTACACACAATCAAATCCCTAAACAACAAAAACAACTAAATGGCAGGAATCACCACATTCCTATCAGTATTAACACTGAATGTCAATAGACTCAACCCCCCCATCAAAAGACCCTGTTTGGAAAACTGGATTAAAAGGGAAGATCTGACAATTTATTGTTTACAACAGTGCCATCTTATTGACAGAAATAAACACTGGCTTAGGGTGAAAAGGTGGGAGATTTACCAAGCCAATGGCCCCTGATAACAGGCAGGAGTAGCAATACTTATATCAGACGAAGTAGACTTCAAAGTTACATTGGTCAAACAAGATAAATAAGGACACTTCATACTAACAAAAGGGGCATGACATCAAAAGGAAATAACAATTATCAAACTATGTGCACCCAATGTCAGAGCACCCAATTTCATCAGACATACACCAAAGGGCTTAAAAGCCTTTTGGTAGTGGGAGACCTTAATACCCCTATATCACCAAAAGATAGGTCATCCAAACAAATCAGCAAATCCTAAAGCTAAATGACACCATAGATCAAATGGATCTAGTTGATAGCTACAAAATATTCACCCAGCAATAGTACAATATACATTCTTCTCAGCAGCCAAGGGAAATTT